AGTGTTTTTGAAACATCCTTGTAGAGAAGACTGAGATAAGTGAGCTAGATGATAATATAAATCAATAAGTTAACCAAATGTTGAAGAAGTCTACCCAAAGATTCCGGGGTAAGAGGGAGGCCAACCTGAAGAGAAAGTTCTACAGATTGGCTATCTGGCTTTCCATCTGCTACCAAGCTCTGCAACAATTTTTAAAAAACTAGAGACATAATAAAAAAATTAGTAGCTATTCTTATCAAATTTTCCAATTGAAATACCTGGGAAGGGTAGACAATATGTTGAAAGGCAGGAAAAAAAAAGTGCTATAGAATCAGAAACTTAAGGATGATGTAAAGAACTTGAAATTAAATTCAGAGAAAGAATTCAAAATCTTTTCACATACATTGTGAAAATTTGCCTGCACAATGGGTGACTTCATTTCAGTGATCATTTTAGCATTAGATTGGTCCACAACCATATAAAGCATGGGCCGTACATGTGGACAGATGGTGGCACTGGAAGATGACGGGCTCAGTGAGGGTTGACCCTGGTTTGTGAGTGTTGCTTCCATATTCTCTGGGTATCTGAAATGCTGGGAGGCTGTTAAATAAAGGGGTGCCACGCCACCAAGAAATGAATTCCTTTACTACCAAAGAATGTTAAGCCAGGTGGATCTTCCTCAGCAGTTTCTCTGTGCCTTGTTTGTGTATCTGAAGCATTCCTCCATGACTAAAGAATCCAAAACATGAAGAGGAGATGGTGCAAGTTGGAGAGGGGGAGGCCACCCTGAATTAGACCCAACAGCTGTTCCATCTCTTTCATGTTAAAATCAATTGCCTAAAGGGGCAGAAGAAAGAATCCTTCAATCATTCAATGAGATTCCTAGATCTCACTACATTTTATATCCACATCTAGAGTAGGAAAGACTGCCAAAAGATATGACCTTTTTATGTAAGAAAAGAGCCTGGTCTTAGTCATAATTTGTTTTTCTTAACGATTGTTCACAGCTTCCATTACGTGAAATGCAATAACTTTCATCAATTTGCCATCACAGTTCACAAAAATGAAATTTATCAAGAAGTCAATTTTAAATCAGCCATCTGGCACTTTTTAAACAATGCTGAGGAAAAAGGATATATGTTGACCTATTCAAAATTCCACTTGAAAACTGCTTTTGCTTTTATTTAATGAAAAACAAAACAAAACAAAAAAACAAAAACAAAATCTAAGCAACTTCTATCTGCTATAATATTTGTTAAAAGTAAGAATGAATATAAAGACCCTGAAGGATGGGATAAAATAAATTTTGGGTTCACTAAATATCAGGATCATTTTTAAAATAGTAACTTTCCATGAACTTAGAATTCATCAATTTAGAGAAGGAATACAATTGAAACTTGGGAAATTTATTAAGGCAAATTATTTTTCATGTATTAATACTTTATTTGTATGGAAATAATTATACTAATCACAGTGTTGGTGTTAATAGTTATTAACTAATTAAATTATTCATTAAAGTATCTACTAGCACTAAGTTGATATTCAAGAAGATAATCTTAAATATTCCTAAAATGTTAGAGCATTAGATACATGAAGATAACTCAGAATATATAAATTTTCTGACTTGGAAACTGAGGCCCAGAGAGGTAACAGACTCTGCCCAACCCCATGCTGTTGGTTACTGTGAGGTGAAAAAGAAAAATGCTGTTCAATGCTGTCAACATCACACCACAGGTAACTGAATCTCAAAGTAAGTTAAGTCAAGAGATGTTGTGTAAAAGCCTGCATCACTATGTTAAGCCCTAAGAAGAAACAGGTGGAGAAAAAAATCACTAGTTTTCTTAAGCTGTCAGTGTGAAGAAGTTAAACCTAAAATACTAAAAGTCAACATAAGGCTGAAATTTAAATGCAAGATATTAATTCAAAAAATAATAATGCACAATTAGTTGTTATGGATTTCCATAAATGGAACCCTTTGGAAAGATAAATCACCATAGAATGTGGAGGAAATGGAAGTTGAACTGATTTTGAAGAATGGGGAGGGTTTAGAAGAACAGAAAGAAATAATACCCAGTGGCTCAGCAGGCTGAGGCAGGAGGATCACCAGTTCAAAACCAGCCTCAGCAACAGCAAGGTGCTAAGCAACTCAGTGAGACTCTGTCTCTAAATAAAATACAAAATGGGGCTGGGGATGTGGCTCAGTGATGGGGTGTCCCTGAGTTCAATCCTTGGTACCAATAAAACAAAACAAACAAACAACAACAAAATAGCTTGTTGGATTGTCACTGGTATGGTAAAGTGATATCAATTAACATCAAGGTAATTAATGGAATATTACTCAGCAATTAAAGAGAATAAAATCATGGCATTTGCAGGTAAATGGATGGAGTTAGAGAAGATAATGCTAAGTGAAGTTAGCCAATCCCCCAAAACCAAATGCCGAATGTTTTCTTTGGTATAAGGAGGCTGATTCATAGTGGGATAGGGAGAGGGAGCTTGGGAGGAATAGATGAACTCTAGATAGGGCAGAGGGGTTGGAAGGGAAGGGAGGGGACATGGGGTTAGAAATGATGGTGCAAAGTACAGGTATGAAGACATGAATTGGTGTGAATTGTGTATACAACCAGAGATATGAAAAATTGTGCTCTATGGGTATAATAAGAATTGTAATGCATTCCACTGTCACATATGAATAAAAAAAGAGCAATTAAATGTTTATCTGCCCTGATAAGCTGGAGAAAAAAATGAACTGGGAACTATTAATATAATGCTTGATTTATTTAGTTATACCTCATTATTCCACAAAGAAAGGCAGCTTTAAAAAATATACAACATACACTGAATAAAATAAATGATTTTAAAAATGACAAACCCAAGAGTAAAAATGCACACAGAGTAAAGCAGACTATGCAGACTAGAAGGTTGTCAGCTGGAGGTGAGTCGAGGCAAGATGGAGGGGGGAGAGGGGGAGAGTGAACCCTTTCTAGCAGTTTCAGGGTTTTTCATGCACTGGTTTCAAAATAAAACAAACCAACCAATCCTTGTAATGTATGAGAAGTTCAGCCTTTTTTAATGCTAAAACATGAGACAATTTGTCCTTCAAGTGCTCATAAAGAAGTCACTGAAATATAATTATGTCCAAAAAAAAAGTCACTGAAAGATGTCTTGGGTGATGGCCTATGGTTATAATGGATAATTTCTCATGGCCGTATTTCTCACTGGCTCTCAGGGTCAGACAGGATCATCATGCTGAGACACAATTCCATTATAACACTGTGGCCTACATGCCCAGCTCCACTTGCAGTATAAGAGTAAAATTCAGAACATGTACCATAGTAGAGACAAAAATCTACTGGTCACATACAGTGTGACAGACATGGGAATACTGTCATGAATAAAATGGCAATTCTCATAAAGACCACGAACATGCAAATGTATGTTAGATGGTCATAAATACTATGGGAAAGTAAAGCAGGAAAAAATGACAGAGAACATCCGGGCAGTGGAAAGTTGCTATTTACATACAACAGTCATCACAGAAGACACCTTTGACATGGTAACACATGGACAAAAACTGACATGATGTGAAGAAAGAAACTCTGAGCCTTCTGGGAGAGAAATGTGGCAGGCAGAGAGAACAGTTCCTGTAAGGGTCCCCAGAGAGAAGCCTGTCATGCTTGAACAAGACCACTGGCAAGAGAGAGGCAGGATGGGGATCTTAGGAAAATGAAGGAGCCAGAAACCAACCTCAGATCAAAAATAAGAAAAATTGAATTTGTACTGATTTTTTTTTTTTTTGGTAGGGGGTGGTTACTGGAAATTGAAGCCAAGAGTGCTTAACCACTGAGCCACATCTTCGGACCTTCTTATTTTTTTATTTAAGTTCCTTAGGGCTTTGCTAAGTTGCTGAGGCTGGCTTTGAACTTGTGATCCTCCTGCCTCAGCCTCTGGAGCCCCTGAGATTAGTGTGCACCACTGCACCTGGCTTGTACTGATTTTTTTATTCCCTAAACAGTACAGTATAACAACTATTTGCATATCATTGGCATTGTATTAGGTAATACAACTAATCTAGAGATGTGTATGGGTTAATATGCAAATACTATAACATTGCATATTAAGTACTTGAGCATCCACAGAGTTGGGTATCTAAGGGGGATAATGAGGATGACTTATTAAAGCAAGAAAACTACTTTCATAATTTCCATCACTTAACTACTCATAGAATGTCCTAATTTTGCTTCTTGGTGGAACTTATATGAGTTTTTTTAAAATGCAAATTGCACCCTAAGTAACTGCCTCATCAAAATAATTTCTTATGTTTAACCTGAATGAATGCTGCAAGGCATCTAGCAAAGATGTTGTGCATGATTTTAAAGACAATCTGGCAATTGTGTGACAGCATAATCCACTGTCTATCAAGGGCACCTCCAAGTGTCAACAAAATTATTTCATCAATTTAGAGAGGTTGACGTCTCTCCACTTTTCCATAGCAAGGGGTCATGTGTCCAGAATTCTGAAAAGTGGTATCAAATCACTTTGAGAAGTGAAGAGGAGGAGATTCAACACAAACCTGTTTTATGCCATGAGAAATTTCTCTTAGGATGCCATCAAACCTGCTATCTCCTAACAGGTATTGAGGCACAGGGTCTTCAAGATTGTCATTAATTTGTTCCCTATTGAGTTCAGAGACCTCAATCCATTGTCAATTCCCCAGAAAAATATGACAAGTAAACAGCAATAAAAACAGCAAGTCCCAAAGTGACAGAAAACATATTAATGGTCAGTAAGACACCACCTTTGTCTAAAGGTCACCTACACTGTGAAGAAAATATTAGAATGAGAAAACTAGGCTTCTCATATCTGTCAAGAAGAAAAGTGACATAGAGAGATTAGGTGTCCAATGTAAGTTTACCAGCCATTAGTCAAATCATTAGTACAAAAATTTATGTAACATTAATTTATACACTTAACAGTCACATTTAAAAAAATACGATGTGAAATTAAATGGAAACAATTACCTGCTCAGCCAATAATGAAGCTAAGCTTGAATATGCATCTGCAAACTCTGGGCCATATTTAATGGAATCCTTCAGAAGAGTGATAGCTTCTTCTTTCTTCTCCTGGGACCTATAGACAATAAGTGGGGCAGGGGCATCTTTTATTAATACTTTGCTTAAATCCTCTGATTAGACTTTAAAATCTCACTTCCTTTTAGCAAAGATTGCTCATTCATTCTGGATTTTATGGCCAATGAATCAAACTTGGCTGTCTCAAGGTGCTAACAGCTTCTTTCTGTCTCTGGATTCTCCTTTGGAAAGTGATATAAAGATGCAGGTTATTCACTCATTTTTCTACCTTCTACAATGCACTTTTGGGGAGTTTTACGTAATAGTTTTATGAGTTTGTGAACAAGAAATGCTGACCCTCAGAGGAGTAATTTTGGGGCCATTACCTAGGTGGCATGGGAAACAGTTTACCATGATGTGGAAGATGGTATGGGCGCCTGTTTCTGGCTGCACCACTTCTAGCTGTATTCCTAACAGTAGCTGAGCCCCCGACCAGGGACAAGCCAGGCCAGACTGCCAGTGTTAATCTTTGGTTTTATATCTAAGGGAAGAAAAGTTTCACACATGAAATTAGAAAATACTGTGACCACTGATCAGCAAATAATAATGAGCTATTTTATCATATTTTTATTGAAAATGGGGACTGATTCAGTAATATGTACTGCAACTTCAGCAGAACTCCTCCACCAGTTATCAAAGGCCATGAGAGTGGCTTCTGCTATAACCCCCTACAGGTTCAGTCTCTGTAGGATGAAGTTATGTAGAGGGAAGTTGTTACCGTTTGGAATCGAGGTGTCCCTGAAAAGCTCACATGTAAGACAACGCAAGAAGGTTTGGAGGAAAAATGATCCAGTCACACACAGACTTAATCCAATCAGTGAATTAATCTCCTGATGGAATTGAGTGGTAACTGAAGGCAGGTGGGGTGTCATTGGAGGAAGTAGGGCACTGGGGACATGGCTTTGGGGATATATTGGTATCTGACAATTGGAGACCTTTCGCATTCTCTGCTTCCTGATCATTATGTGAAGTGGTTCCCTCTGCCACACTCTTCTGCCATGATGTTCTGCTTCACTTTGAGCCCTGAGGAATCAAGTCTGCTGTCTATGAATTGAGACCTCTGAAACCATGAGCCCCTAAATAAACTTTTCCTCCTCTATAATTGTTCTGGTTGGGTCCTTTTAGTCACAGCAGTGAAAAAACTGACTAAAACAGAAGCTAATACTGACTCATGTATGAGTTCTTAAGCTGCCAGAAGCAGCTTGCAACAAGTTGATTTCACCTGGACGGGAGCTTCCTATGACAGATGGAGGGTTCGGGGGCCGGGGGATTCATGATTCCAATACAGACCTTGGATTTATGGGCTCAATTTAGTAAACATTTACCATTGTCTGTTCTATGCCAGGCACTTAGCTATTTCCCAAAAGAGGTGGTTTTCCATACTATCTACTTCTTGGGTTCTAGCTAACTCCTAATAGGATTCTCTGATGCACAGTCCTATCTTTGAAAACAAGTTGTTCAACACCTGTGTCCTTAAGTGAATGGTCCTTGGGATGTGGCTTTAAAATTGCAGGATTATAATAAATTTGTATTACATCTTTCTTAAAGCTTTCTTGTTGATTCATCCAGTCAACAAAAATTTCAAAATTCTCTTTACATATATGGAAGCCATTAGGATTACATATATTCAGGTTTCTATTCTAAACTATACCTTGAAGTAATTCTTCCATTTGCTCATTTTTTTAATGCAAATGTATGTTTTAATCCTGGTAATTTGACCATTGATTTTATGGTTAGCAGAACTTTTCCTCTGATGATTTCATAAATCTTTATAAACGTTAAATTTGGAAATCATCCTAAAGTCCAAAGGAAGATGCAGACTTAGGAGATGAAGGCTGAAATTAAGTCTCACAAGGCATTATTTAATCAGATACTCTTTAAAATAAGAAGAGGGAAAAATAACTACTGAAATGATAGTAAAGATTTAATGGTTTTCATTTGTCATAACTTATATCAGTTAAAATGGAAACTGAGACTTTTTACAAATGAACTCAGCAAGATTAATTACCACTTAACATGGTCTATGAATGCAAATACTTGAGGTTGTCCATTAACATTCATGTGACACAATGGAAAAGTTATCATCACAGTTATTCACAGGAACTCAGATTTCTTTGTGAAAAATGGTATCTCTAAAATTCCTTAAGGAACTTGTTGCTTTCAAGAAAAATGTTTCATCATGTGATCAGCTCAGTGATGAGAGTCTTATAATATGCAAAGACTCTGGCAGCAAGGATTCTTCCTCTTGGCTCTGTACTTTTGGATGATTCTGGTTTGTCTGGGAACTTTTGAGAATCACTAGACACCAAGGGTCAGACTAACAGATGTCACATGCCACTTGGACAGATACTTTGCAATGCTTTTTAAAGAAAGTCCAAACAATCCATAAGTAGTAATTTTGTTTGTGTTTCTACAAGGGAGACAAATTGAGAGGATATTTCTTCTACAGTCCTGTTGCTCACCATTTGGTGGGAACCTGTATCATAGGTATGCTTTTGGCATAATAATTTACAGCAGTTAATTCGTCCAAATAGAACTTTACAACATGATTACCATGTGAAATTTCAAACTGTTTCAGATTTTAGTAGCATTCTTTGTCATATACACCTTGTAGCACATGTTCCTCTGATAATTATCCCCTATTTAAACACAGGGGAGAGATTCCTATAGTACTATCAGACTGCTGCCATCAACAGTGCACCTTACTCTGTCTGCTTGTTAACACCTCAGTTCACACTTTTATTTTACACATTTGCTTCTAGTTACTCTTTCTTCTCTTTGTACTACATGCAGACAATTCAGAGAAAGTTTTCTATGAGCACTGCTTTCAACATTGTCCCTGAGGTAGAAATCTTCATTAATGCTCAATTGCCTACAGATAGACTCAATCAAAACTCTTTACAATCTGGTTCTGACTGACATTCCACAAACACCCTGGGACCCACTATTCCAACCAGACTGGGTGGATTTTGGCATATCTTCTATTGAACCTAAGAGATCACCTGCTCCATTGATTCTTCATCTTCACAGTAACTTAAAGTCGCCTGGGTGTGCTTTAAACAGACCTTCATGTTCTGAGGAAGCCCTCCATATGAATATGATCACCATCCACATTTGAGTATTATGAATATACCAACCTCCCTCATTTATAGTGATGAAAGTGAGACTCCGAGAGCCTCAACGAATGTCTGGTCCCGAGCAAAGAGGAAGGACCTGCCCCAGGTCTTGTCCCTCTCTGCCTGGTGTCCTTACCATAGCACTTCACAGAGGGCCTTTCCCTCCTCCCCACTTAACTTCTGGTTCCCAGTGAAGCCTTCCCTGACTTGCCTGGCTCAAAGCACTGTCCTCTCATCAAAGATCCTAAGCCCATAACATGATTAGAAAAAAGAAATAAAGAAGGTCTGTGTATGTGTATCTATCTCTATATCTACACAGGTCAAGTATTTTTAAATCTGAAAACCTGAAATCCAAAATGCTCCAAAATCATAAGCTTTTTGATTTTCAGATGTTTGGACAAGAGATTCTTAACTCGTAAAGCCTATGCAAGTATTTAAAAAATCCTAAGAACTAGAAACACTAATGTACTTCTTCTGGTCCCAAGCATTTGGACAAGGGATACTCAACCTATATCTTTATCAATTCTATATCTATGTCTATCTATATCTATACATATATATTACCTTTCTTATACACACATATATATATATGATATATATATATATATATATATGATATATATATATATATATATATATATATATATATATTTAACGGAGACACGTACACACACAAATATACAGTCAGTACTTTCCAGGCTCTGAAGCAGCTTATGTACCCTGACTACACAGCAGTTAAAAGCACAAGCTCAAAGACCAGGTCTGGGCTCTGACTCTACTTCTACCATTTACCAGCTTAGGCAAATTGTCTGACTTCTCTGTGTGTCAGGTACACAGTAGATACTATATCCATTTTGGCTTTTTTGTTAAGTGCTTAACCACTGTTGGCTTTTATTAGTTCAATTAATGTTTCTAAAATCACCTACTGAAAACTAGCTCCTCACCCTTTTTTGTTGTTTAGAAAAAATTTAGGTTAAATATCAGAGTAATTTTTCTTTGTGTACTTATTAGCACAACCCGGGATGTGCTAATATACCTAAATCTTCCGTGTCTATCAAGTGGAAAGTGATACCAGTAACAGAATCATTCCCCTGGGCAGGCTTACTCTAAGGCAAATGTCGAGGTAAGCAGGCCTAAAAAGAATTCAGAAACTACTTAGCTGCCACATGGGCCACAGAAAGGAGCAGATCAGCATTTTTCAGGGTGATGATCACAGATGAGTGCTCAGGCAAGAAAGAACCAAGGCATTTGGAATCTCTTCCTTAGCTGGTAAGGAAGTTTTTCATAAAAGAAAGATTTAGACAGTTATTTCCATGTACAAAGGAGGTGGGCATCACAGGAGAGGCAGAAAATTTCAAATAGTGTGAACTTGCTTAATAATGGGAATTACCAATATACTTGAATTGTACAGATCACCCCTAGGCCAGCATTAGACAGTACTGAAATTTCCCAATGTGTTCATTTTGGCTCTATAAGAAATAATTTAGGAAACTCAACAGTCTATTATCAGTATAAGTCTTATCTATATGAGACTACTTCCTTAGCCATTTGAAATGAATTGACAGGTCAATCCAAAAGAGGAAAAAAATATTAAAATAACATTTTTTGTCTAAACTAACCAAGCATGTGATATAGGTTACCATGTCTACATGTGTTTTCTCAGAATTATTTAGAAAACCACCTGAATTAATCAGGTCATAATTTGTGAACAAGTAGATAAAATCAAACCTCAGTACACACCCTGTGCAACTAGCCAAGGACACACTATGAGTATGGAGTCATGAAAAGAACACTGTGAATTCCTTTGGGAATTCATGTGACATGAAGGCCTTTCTGAGCTTCTGTTAGGGGGTTCCACTGGCATGGATGAAACTATTAGGGTCCC